CCGCCTCCGGGTGGGTCAGTGATTTGGGAAGCATGTGTAGGAGGTAAGCCTCCGGTGTGAATGGTATCCTTTTCTGTATACTGTTTTGGAGTAACACCTGTACCTGTCTCCAGAAATTGTGTAGTACTGGACAGTGCCAGAAGATATGGCTCAAAGTACCCGTCTGTGCGCAGCAGCGCCAGCATACTTGTTGTGCCCCTGGGTATATAAGTGCCAGCCTCCGTTGGGGTGAGATACCACCTCATCCAGAGTTTATAGGCCGCCTCAACATGGTCCAGGCAGTGTGTGGCTCGTTTCACAAGCGCCATCGCTGCGGACCATTTACTACTCTCTATTGTGCTATTGAGTTCCGATTCCCAGTGTACCATGTAGCTTAGCTTATTAGGCTTGCCTATCTCCAGGAGATTTTGGTAACATAGAGAGAGTGGTTTTGCTTGGGTCTTACGCCTGAGGCAAAGTGTGTCGAACGAGCCTGGCTCTCTGGTGTTAGGCGTCGCTTGTTTGACTCCCTGCAGTATGTGCTTAATGCGAAGGTAGGTGAAGAGTTCCCTACTCGGGATGAGGAAGGTCTGCTGAAGTGTCGGGAATTGTCTGATCTCACTACTCTCCATTAGTTGGGATACCCTCTCTATCCCCTGTGCCAACCACCCGTCTAGAACCAGATCTTGTGTGAGGTATTTTAGGCTAGTCATGGGGGCGTATAATATCAGAGGTTGGGCTAGGAGTTTCGGGGCCCACCTGTGCCATATGCGTAGAGAGTGTTTTGTGGTCACCAGCATGTTTGCGTCGCGTGGGTGCGAACTGGTCGGGACCCAGAGTAAGTCTAATAATGCATGGGGCGTAGCAGTTGCCGTTTCTAATTGGTACCACAGGGGGCGGTTTGGGGTTCTCAGCAGTCTTACTGTTTGGGATAGATTCGTGGCTATGTAGTATTTAGAAATATTGGGTACACCCAGCCCCCCATTCCCCATAACCAGGGATGTAATTGCCAGAGAATCCCTAGGTGGTTTCTTCTTCCATATGTGTGCGTTCAGCAAACGTTGGAATCGCTGTAGTAGCCCCTTCGGTATATCAATGGGGAGGGCCCTGAAGAGGAATAATATTTGGGGGAGTATGATCATTTTTATGGAGTTTATGCGTCCCAGCCATGATGTGTTTTTTGCCCCCCAGCTCTCCAGCAGTGTCTCGGTTTTATTTAGCAAGGCGTCATGGTTATGTCGGAGTAGGTTATGTCTGGAGGGTGCCAGTTTTGTACCTAAGTAGGAGAGATTGTCTTTCCGCCAGTCAAAGGGGTACTGAGCTCGCAGTGGAGTTAGTTGAGGGTGGGGCACGTTAAAGGGTAATACCTGAGTCTTTGCTTCGTTTTTGTAATAGGACACTAGGCCATAATCATGGAGCAGGAGTAGAAGATGTTTCAGTGATTCTGTCGGGTTAGTCAGAAATAGCAGGATGTCGTCAGCAAAGGCCGCTATTTTTTGGGGACCTATTAGTGTGGGGATACCCGTGACGCGCTCTTCCTGCTTAATTGTGTGCATTAACGGTTCTAGTGACAGGATAAAGATAAGGGGCGACAATGGGCATCCCTGTCTCGTGCCATTTGTCAGGGCAAAACGTCGAGAGGTGAAACCGGAGCTCACCACTACGGCTGTCGGGGAGGAATACAATGACCGGAGGCCATTGAGAAATTTGTCGGGGAATCCAAACCTGCGGAGAACCTCCGTTATGTAGCCCCAGTGTAGCCGGTCGAAGGCCTTCTCCGCGTCAAGGGCCATTAGTAGTCCCTGTGTTCTATGTACCGTCAGGAGTTCCATTATGTCTAGTGCACGCCTTGTGTTGTCCTCTACCTGGCGTTCCGGGACAAAACCTGATTGTTCCGGGGACACGAGTGTACCCAGGAGGGGGCGTATTCTGTTGGCAAGAATTTTAGCACAGAGCTTTGTGTCGGCGTTAAGCAGGGAGATGGGGCGATAGTTCGCGCAAAATTCAGTGGGCTTGCCCGGCTTGGGAATAGTAATTATGGTGGCCTCTAGCATTTCGGGGGGTATGGAGCCTGAGTCCATGATGTTATTGAACAGGGAGGTCATGTGGGGAAGGAGTTGTTCCTCAAAGGTCTTATAATAGTGAGCGGGGAAGCCGTCAGGCCCTGGGGCCTTATGTCGGGGGGTTTCTCTAAGTGCTTTTGAGATTTCCTCTGGAGTGATTTTGCTGGTGAGTAGTGAGGCTTGGGCGCTGGTGAGCTGGGGGAGTGCCACTTTATCTAAGTAGGCGGCTATCTCCAGTGGGGTCGGCTGGTGTTGTAGAGGATCATTCCCCAGGTTATAGAGGGCACCGTAAAATGTCGCAAATTCATCAGCTATCAGCTTGGGGTTCGTCAGTTTCGTCCCGTTTTTATCTACGAGGTATGGAATGCGCGTTTGGGCGTGTTTGTCTTTCAGTTGGGCGGCCAACAGTTTCCCCGCCCTGTTCCCCTGCCTGTAATATTCGCTTTTGAGTTTGCGGAGAGCCCTCTCAACTCGCTGGAGTTGATGGACTTCCAAGTCACCTCTAATCTCTTTGACAGCCTGTCGTGTCACGTCAGAGGGTGAGGATTTGTGGAGGTCCTCCGCAAGCCTCAGGTCCCTGAGCTTTGCTCTGCTGGTTTCCTCTAGTTTGCGTTTTAGTGTCGCTCCAGCTCTAATCAGTGCACCCCGTATCACGGCCTTATGGGCCAGCCACGTCGCAGCCATGGTTGTGTCTTGGGGCTTGTTGTCCGCAAAGTAATTTACTATGCTTTGCTTAGCTCAGCAGCCCGTTCAGCGCTATCTATGAGGGATGCATTGAGGCGCCACGTGCCCCGTCCTTTCACCGGATGCAAGGTGGTGAATGAGGACAGCAAAGGGGCATGGTCTGACCAGGTGATTGAGTCAATGGTAACCCTAGCCAGAGTGTCCAGGGATTTCTCATCCACCAGGCACATGTCAATGCGGGAGTATTGGTCATGGACTTTCGAGTAGAAAGTATAATCTCTGGTGGCCAGGTAGAGGGAGCGCCACGTGTCGTGAAGGCCATGGGAGTGTAAGAGAGCTGAGAGCCTGTCACCGATAGATACAGAGCGAGGGTGGGAACCTGGGGTGCCAGATCTGTCCAGGTCTGGGTCAAGTACACAGTTAAAGTCTCCGCAGACATAAGTTTGGCCCTGTTTTATCCTGTCTAGCGTTTTTAGGGATTTCCTAATAAAGTCATATTGGTTGGAGTTGGGGGCGTAAAGGTTTGCCAAGGTTACCGGGATATCGTTTAGCCTACCCACCAGAATTAGTAGCCTACCATCAGCGGTTTTGTGCTCTGTTGTGCATGTGAAGGCCCAATCCGAGTGGATCAAGATACTGACTCCCCTGGTTTTATTGGGCGCTAAAGCATGGTAGGAGACGGGGTACCTGGCTGAGAGGAATTTAGGGGGGTTTATTGCCGAGAAGTGTGTCTCCTGTATGCAGGCTACTGAAGCGTGCAGGGCGCGGAGCTGGGAGAAGGCAAGCCTGCGTTTTTGCGGAGTGTTCAGGCCTCGGGCATTTAGGGACAGAACATTAAATTGGTGTTGGGAAGACATCAGTTGAGACCTGGGGGGGGCTCAGTGCTTCTGAGGCAGCAGTTACAAAACTGGTTTACAGACAAAGGTAGTACTCTTTGGTGAAGGGGGGTTGCGTCCCTAAACCCCCAGTGCCTCCAAGGCCCAGGGTGAGCGACATCTCTAATGGGGTGCATAGGCAAGGGTAGAGTGTAACATGGGGATAAAAAACAGTAAACATAACAAAAGTATATACATTTCAATAAGCTTAATAGCATTATGTGGAGACTGGTCCGCAGGTGCACCTTTCTCCTCACGGTGGGGAGGGGTAGCACCGCAGAGGATTGTCTCGGCATTTGGGGGGGGCTCTAAGGAGAGGGTCTGTGACCGGTGGTGGACTATATGAATAGAGGGAAGGAGAGGGTCTAGTGTTGGGTATAACAAGGGCACATCAAGTGTAGGAGCCACCCGAGTTCACTGGGTTAAAGCTGGTCATCTTGGTGAGATAGGCCGTGCCACTAGGCATGCCATCAGGGTGCCTCGGGTTGTATAGGCGTAGATGTGGTCGGGACAACCAGGGGCTAAGGCCGACCTCAGTGCCGGTGGGAGCCGCATATAGCTGAAACTTTTAAGTGCAGCGTATGGGGTAACTTTATGACAGCTATGGGGGGGGTCCTGTGGGCCACTTCCTGACACAGTTACTCACGTGAAGGTTCAGACTGCAAACATCAATCAAGCTTTTCCCCCAAGGTGAAAGAAAAAAGGGGGGTGAGTCCAGCTAGAGTCTCTGCCGCTTCCAAGGCGGGGACGTCTTCACCTCACATGGCATCGGTCGACCTGGCAGTCTGTGGCAGTGGGAGAGGCCGAACAAATCAGTCACTTCTTCCGTTGGACTTTGGTCCACTCCTGGGCCACTTGTCCTGGGGGCGCTGGGTAGTTGGACGGTGCGTGGTCCGGGAAGAGTCCCCAAGCTTTCAGCTTGTGCATGCCCTGGTCTGGGTCCTCCAGCTTCGTTAGGGTCCCATTTCTCCAGATCAGCAATTTCGTGGGGAATCCCCAGCGGTAGGGATCTTGTGGTTCCGGAGGCATTTTGTGACATTTATAAAGTCTCTTCTTCTCGCCATTGTCATAGGAGACAAATCAGCAAACAGGGAGATCTTTTCATAGCCTGGTGGCATTGCCGTAGATTTTCGTTGCGCCGTAAGTATGGCGTCCTTGGCGCTGAAATAGTGTAGCCTTGTGACAATGTCTCTCGGTATGTCTCGTGCCAGCGTAGCGGGTTTGGGTACCCGGTGCGCCCTATCTAAGCGCAGGTCAGCTGGTTCCAGGTTAGGCTGGATCGCCGTGAAGAGTTGCCGAAGATACTCCGGGATATCTGACCCTGCGACAGACTCCGGGACCCCGCGCACTCTGATGTTATTGCGGCGCGATCGGTCCTCGAGGTCCGCCAGTTTGGCTGTTAGGCGCGCTTGCTCCGATTCCATCTGGCGTCATTAGCCTGGCATAAGTCGTCAGTTTTCTCCTCCAGGGCATTTAGGCGGGTCCCCACCTCGTGCACCTCCCTGCGAATGTCATCAACAGCCAATTGTATGTCTTCTTTCATGGAGGAGCGGAGCTTCTGCAGCATTGCCGCCATTTTTGCCTCCGAGAGAGAAATATCCCCAGGGGGAGGCTGCAGTGCCTCTGTGTCGGATCCCTGATCCGAGGCAGGTGTTGGGGAGTGTGAGCCGCCGCCATCTTGCTCCGGCCGCGTTTTGTCCCTCCTACCATGTCGGAAAAAATCCGACGCCCGCTGTGCTTTTGGGGGCGCCATTCGGCAGGGTGAGGTCCCCACAGGTGTGGGATGTAGTGGAGGGCACTTTTTCTTCCCTCAGCCGGTTTTAATTGCCGCTTTTGTCCGGTCCGGTCTCGGAGCTCTCACTCCATGCGGCTGCTCCGTGAGACCGGAAGTCCCGCCCCCCTCCTCTAATGTTTTTAACTTAAGTGACTGTATTGAACATAATATTATTGCAAATGGTGCTTTCTATTGCTTTTTTTTTTTTACAATACAGTTCTATCATGTCGCTTCTTACCATTTATATATTTCTCTTGTGAATACCACCAACATTCTGTGTCATAGTTGTTTTGTATTTTATGTTGGTCTATTTATCATCTGTGTGTATGTTTCGTGTACTGCTTGTGAAAGAAAAAATTAGACACTATTATCAACACACTGCTGCCACTCACACTGCCCCCCCTCCCCCAGTCACACTTCCACATACTGTCACCGACCCATACATTGCCCTCCACACTGTAACTGTCCCACACACTGATCCCCACACTGAGCCCCAAACACGTTGCCATACCCCTTACGCTGTTACCCCTCTTCACCCATCCACTCTCATTAACTCCTCCTAATCCTGTCACTCTCACCCTTTCCAACATACCACACTTACCTGCCCTTGTTTAGCCACACATGCCTAATCACATTTACTCACACTCATCTCTCGCACTGTCACATTCACCCCAACCCTGTCACACTCATTCTTCTTTGCCCTGCCACACATGGTGATATCATATTAACTCCTCCAAGCCTGTCATTCATCCCCTCCAACCATGCCACACTCACCCTGTCACATAAATCCCCCGAATCATGTCATGCTTACCTCCTCTCACCTGCTACATTCCTTTCTCCAACTGTGCCCCACTCACCCCCAAAACGGTTACACTCTCCCCCTCAACCCTGCAACACTCACACTGTCACATATATCACCCTAATCCTGTTATACTCATCTTCCCTCACTTTGTCCACTTTTAAAAGCAGAAGTGGGCATGGTGGTTGGAGTAACCCTTTACTTTAAAAAGTCCTACATCTGAATGTCTCTCTTTTGCAGATTTTCACAGGGCTCTCTCATTTTTCATGAGGGCAGCACTCATTTGCATAGGAGGTTTAGTGAGCTTGTGGATGTATATGATGCTGGTACAGGCTTTCTAATTTCTGAGGCAAGTCTATAGAATGGCAATTATACTACTGTAGTTTCTCCAGTAACTTATTAATGGGAAAAAAACTGCTTTGAGTGGATAAGAAGCTGTGACAGCTCCATTCACTCTAAAGAGGTTTAATTCATTCATTAATTGTGATAGCTTTATTGCCAATGGGCACACATTTCCTTAGACTCACTGTAAAATGAATTTACATAGTGTGAGAGAAAATGTGGAATGGTTGTTGAGGGAAGATACATTAGCAGTGGCGTACTAAGGGGGAGGCAGGGGGGGCGGTCCGCCCCGGGTGCCAGCAGGGTGGGGGGGTGCCATGACCAGCCCCGCCGCCCCCCCCATGCTGCAGCCGCCCGAGCGCTCTGTAGGAGCCTCAGGCGGATGCAGCTTTGCCCGGGCGGTGCGTCCATGAGGGCGGACCGCACCGCCCGGGCGCAGCCTGAGAAAGGGGGCTGACAGGAGGGAAACGCTCAGCGCTCCCTCCTGTCAGCCCCTCACTGCAGCATGGTCCGCGGGTACAGAGAGCAGCTGTCTCCTGTACCCGGCCGGACTAACAGGAAGTTCACACAGTGTGTGCACTTCCTGTTAGTCCGGCCGGGTACAGGAGATGAAGCTGCTCCCTGTACCCGCCGCTATACTGGAGCTCCTCGGCCACGCCACAGCAAAGGTAGGGGGAGGGGATGAGAGAGAAAATGAGGGGGGTGAGAAAGAGAAGGGGGGTGAGAAAGAGAAATGAGGGGGGTGAGAAAGAGAAATGAGGGGGGTGAGAAAATGATGGGGTGAAAATGATGGGGTGAGAAACGATGGGGGTGAGAAAAATGATGGGGAGAAAGAGGGAGAAAGGGGGTGGGAGAAAGAGGAGAAAGGGGGGGTGAAAAGGCAAGAGAAATTAGGAGGGGGGAAGAGAAATTAGGAGGGGGGAGAGAAATTAGGAGGGGGGTGAGAAAGAAATTAGGAGGGGGGAAGAGAATTTAGGAAAGAAATTAGGGAGGGAGGGTGGGAAGAGAATTGGGAGGAGGAGATTGACATTCATCACATACACACAATGCACCCCTTGCACACAGAAAAACACACAATGCATTACACACACAGACACACATACACAAGCAATGCAACCGTTACACACAATGCATCCCTTACACACACAGAAACACACAATGCATTCATTACACACACTCAATGCACCCCTTACACACATTCAATGCATCCCATACATACACAGAAACACACCTTGCAGCCCTTACACATACAAACACAATTTCACACAATGCATTCCTTACACACATATCAGGACATCCCCTACACACTCCACCCCCTGTGAACAAACTCATTGGTGGAACATGAAGGTGGACCCTGGGACCCAGACCTTGAGCTGTGTAAAGGACCCCCAAAAAATGGAGCTGCTTCCCGTTCTCCCAGAACATTGATTTTGTGACCACAGTTACAAACCGCCTCCAGAGAGCCTGTTCTGCACCAGACCAGTGGAGCCAGACTGCAGCTAGAGCCCATCATCATCTCATCTGGTTGTAAGTAGGCAATCTAGTATATTATTCGTGGCACTAAGCTCTAATTTACCTCACATTAAAGAAACACTATAGTCCCCAGAACCACTTCAGCTTAATGTAGTGGTTCTGGTGTCTATAGCCTGTCCCTGCAGGCCTTTTAATGTAAACACGGCGGCACTGCAGCACTGGCGTTAGTTAACATGGCAAATCATATGGGTGGGGCGGCAAACTTTACTTTTGCCTAGGGCGGCAAAAATCCTTGCACTGGCCCTGGCTGGAGGGGGCTGTGTGAGCTGTGGCCGCACAGTGTCCCATGATAGTTAGGGTGCCGTGCGGCCGCACGGAGGAAATGTGTATGTGTGACTGTCTGCCTGTAACTGAGTGTGACTGTCTGCCTGTAACTGAGTGTGTGACTGTCTGCCTGTAACTGAGTGTGTGGGGCTGCAGGGATTTTGTAGAAGGGGGCGGGGGGTTTGCATTGGAGGACAGGAGTCTTTATAAGGGGGGATAAGCAGGGGATTTGTGGAAGTGGGTTGCGGGGGTTTTGTAGACGGGGCAGTACAGGATTTGTAGATGTAACGGAGTCTTACCTGATAGGGAGTCCAGCTCGCAGAGTTATACGCTCACCCTTGCAAAGTAGACACAGACCAGGGTGACCAGGTAAGACGCCACCTGGCCTGTGAGTCTGTGCACGGGGGCTTTCCAGGAAAGGTGCTCCAAGACTCAATACAGCAGGGATAAGCAGAAGCGTGGTCAAGGGAAGCCAAAATCAGGGAAGCCAGAGGTCAGAGTAGTCCAGGAGGAAAGCCAAGGTCAGAAGCCGGAATTAGACAAGAATCACTGGAACGCAGGTACGGAGTAACAGGAACCAGACAAGGGAACCAGAGTCAATGAACTGACCCCCTCCCAGGGTGAGGCAGGCTTTTATACCTTGTTAATTAGGTATCTGATTCAGCTGGAGAGATACTGACAGATCAGAGCCTTTGGTGAAGTCCAGCCCCCTGGTGCTGCAGGCAATACAAGAATAAATAGGAGTTATCCAAAGTCCTGAAATGGCTCAGAGGGAAGATAGCAGGATACGGTGTAGAACAACCGTAGTTCAAATCCCCTATCGGGCGCTTCCGGAGCGACCACGTCTGGCAGACTAGATGTCACGGCGTGAACCGTGACAGTACCCCCCCGTCAAGAACGCCCTCCGGGCGTGAACAGGCTCTTCCTGGAAATGGTATTCCTCATCTTCGGTCTCAGTATCACTAAGATAGTCTTTATCATTAGGGTATCCTTTTACAACCTGGGATTTTATGGTCCCAGTTTCGGGTGCTATAGGGGAGGCATTTGCAGCTTTCAAAGCTTTTTCGAATACCTCTAGATCCTGTTTGCACACAACTGTGCCATTTGAGGCATAGGTGCAGTCAGGTGGCAGAACTGTTTTGGCAAGGCAGGAAGTGGTGATGGTGCTTGCTTGAACAGAAGTGTCATCAGGAAGAGGTCCAAATGTTTCTGGAGCAGGAGGTGAAGTTTCCACAGAGGTACTGGTAACATTAA